GCTGGTACCTAGAATTATCATGTATATAAATGTTAAATCACTGTGTTGTACACCTGAAACTAATGTAATACTGTGTGTCAACTTCCCTTCAATAAAATAAAAAAAAAAAAAGAAAAGCTATGGGGAGTCCTTCAAGCTGAAATAAAGCCACTATACAGTAAATCAACTCCACACAAAGAAAGAGCCGTAGTAAAGGTGACTATATCAGTAAACATAAAAGACAGTATAAATGTACTTGTTTCTTTTTCTTATCTGACTTAAAAGATAAAAGATATCTGCATAACAAAATACTTATAAAACTGTGTTGATAAGCTTAAAAACTGTAAAGATAATTTTTATGACAATAGTAGAACAGAGGAAGCAGAGAACAGAGCTAAAGAGAAACAAAGGTTTTGAATATTACTGAAATTAAGTTGGTAATAATATAAGCTAGTTAAAAACTGCTAATTATAATCCCAAGGGCAACTATAAGAGAATAACTCGAGAGAAAAGTAAAAAGGCAACAATTAAAATGATATACTAGAAAAACCTATTTAACATGAAGGAATAAATGGAGTAATAGAGGAACAAAAAAGATACAAGGCACACAGAAAATAAATAGCAAAATGCAGATGTAAAGCCTACCTTATCAACAGATTCCAATTGAATACATTAAATATAAATGAACTAACACTACTCAATTGGAAGAATATATATAAAAAAAGAAAACATCTATTTGCTGTGTACAAGAGACATAGTTCAGATTAAAATTTAAAAAAAGGTTGAAAGTAAAAGGATGGAAAAAGACATTCCATGCAAAAGAATCGAGAAAGAAGAATACAAGAAATTTGAGTCTTCTATTTTCCTTGGTAAGTCTAGCTAAAGAACTATGAATTTTGTTGACCTTTCCAAAGAGCCAACTTTTACTTTGTTGATTTTCTATATTTCATTTATTTTTGCTCTATTCTTTATTATGTCTTTCATACAGCTTGATGTAGGTTTAGTTTTCTCTTCTTTTGTAGTTTCTTTTTTTTATTAAGACTTTATTTTTTCAGGGCAGTTGTAAGTTCACAGCAAAACTGAGGGGAAGATACAGAGATTCCCCACATACAACTCATGCATAGCCTCCCCTATTAATAACATACCCCAAATGGTACATTTGTTACAACTGATGAATTTCCATTGACACATCATAATTTCCCAAAGTCTATAGTGTACATTATGGTTCTCTCTTGGTAATGTACATCCTATGGGTTTGGACAAATTTTTATAGTTTCTTAACACAGAAGCTTTGAATATTAATTTGAGATCTTTCTTCTTTATTAATAAGGGTACTTATAGCTAAACTATCCCCCTAAGCACTGCTTTTTACTGCATTCCATAAGTTTTAAAGTATGTTAAGTTTTGTTTACATTCATCTCAAAGCATTTTCTAATGTCCCTTGTGATTTTTTTGATCCATTGGCTATTCATTCAGCAGAGTGTTGTTTAATTTCTGTATATTTGTAAATTTCCTAGATATACTATTGTTGATTTCTAATTTCATTCCACTGTGAATGGAAGTAGTGAGAGTGGACATCCTTGTCTTATTCCTGACATTGAGAAAAAGATTTCAATCCTTCACTGCTAATTATGATGTTAATTATTAACATAAATATATAACCAATTGATTTCTGACAAAAATGCGGACAAGCAAATGGAAAATGAATACTGTTTTCAAAAACCAGTGCTGGAACAACTGGACATTCATAGGCAAAAGAGTGAACCTTAACCTAATCCTCACACCTTATATAAACATCAAGTCAAAATGGATCATAGATCTAAATGTAAAATATATAACTATAAAACTGTTAGAAGAAAACAAAGGAAAAAATATTTTTCATAATCTGCTTTTAGACAGAGATTTCTTAGACATGAAAAACAGCATGATCTATGAAAGAAAAGATTGATAAACTGAATTGTATCAAAATTTAAAACATTTGCTCTGAGGCAAAATCTTGTACAATGAAACTACTGAATGTTGCTGAAGGAAATTAAATACACAAATAAATGCAAAGACATTCTCTGTTCATGGATTGAAGATCTGATGTCATTAAGATGTCAACACTACCCAATGTGATCCACAGATTCAATGCAATCCCTGTAAAAATTCATTGAGTTTTTTTTGCAGAAAGAGAAAAATCCATCCTAAAATTCATATGGTATCTCAAGGGACCCCAAATAGCAAAACAATCTTGAAAAAGAAGAACAAAGTTGGAGGTCTCATATTTTCTGATTTCAAAACTTACTATAAATCTACAGTAATTAAAACAGTGCAGCACTGGCATAAAGACAGACATATAAACCAACAGAACAGAATGGAGAGCCTCGAAGTAGACTTTCACATTTATGGGTCAAATGGTTTTCAGAGAGGGTGCTAAGACCATTCACTTGGGAAAGGACAGTCTTTTCAACAAGTAGTACTGGGAAAACTGGATATCAACATGCAAAAAATGGAGTTGGACTCTTACCTTTTACCATATACAAAATTAACTCCGAATGGACCAAAGACCTAAACATAAGAGCTATAACTATAAAATCCTCAGAAGATAACATAAGAGAAAAGCTTTGACATTAGATTTGGTAATGATTTATCAGATATGACACCAAAAGCACAGGTAACAAAAGAAAAAACTGACAAAATGGGCTTCATCAAAAATAAAAGCTTTTGTGTAGAAAAGGACACTATCAACAGAGTGAGAAGGTAACCCATGCAGTGGGAGAAAATATTTGCAAATCTTATATCTGATAAAGGATCAATATCCAGAATATATGAACAACTTTCTACAACTCAACAACAAATGAACAAACAACCTATTTAAAAAATGGGTAAAGGACTTAAAACATTTCTCCAAAGAAGATATACAAATAGTCAAAAAACACATGAAAAGATGCTCAACACAACTAGTCATTAGGGAAATGCAAATCAAAACCACAATGATACACCACTTCACACACATTAGGATGACTAGTATAAAAAAGAAATTAAGTTTGGCAAGGGTATGGAGAAACTGGAATCCTTGTACACTGCTGGTGAGAATGTAAAATGGTATAGACTTTATGGAATATAGAATTACCACATGATCCCACAATTGAACTTCTGGGTACACACTCAAAAGAACTGAAAGCAGGGACTCAAACAGATACTTATAAATCCAGACTCACAGCATTATTCACAATAGCCAAAAGGTAGAAGAAACACAAGTATCTATTGACAGATGAATGGATAAAGAAAATATATATACATATGACAGAATATTACTTAGCCTTAAAAAGGAAGGAAATTCTGACACATGCTATAATATTGATGAACCTTGAGGACATCATGCTAAGTGAAATAATTCAGACACAAAAAGACAAATACTGTATGATTTCACATATATGTGAGGTACCTAGAATAGTCAAATTCATAGAGAAAGTAGAATGGTGGTTTCCAGGGGCTGAGGGCAGAGGGAAAGGGGGAGTTGATATTTAATGGGCATAGTTTCAGTTTGGGAAGATGAAAAAGTTTTGGAGATGGATGGTGATGATGGTTACTGAACAATGTAAATATACTTAATGCCATGGAACTGAACACTTAAAGAATGGTTAAAATGGTCAATTTTATGTTAGGTATATTTCATCACAATTTTAAAAAAAGTTTGTTTTGTAATAGACACTGTTAAGATAATGAAGAGATAAGATACAGACTGTGATGAAATATTTGTAAATCAGTTATCCAACAGAGAATTGTGTTCAGAATATATAAAGAACTCTCAAAAGTCATCAGCAAGAAAATAAACAACCCAATAAAAAAATGGCAGATTTCAATTGACATTTCAGCAGACAGGATATAAGGATGGCAAATAAGCATATGAAAAGATGTTCAACATCATTAGCCATTAAAGAAATGCAAACTAAAACTACAATGAGATACCACTTCACAGCTATTAGAATAACTGAAATAAATACCAACAATACCAAATGCTGACAAAGATGTAGAGCAACTGGAACTCTCATACATTGCTGGTGGGAATGTAAAATGGTTCACTCACTCTGAAAACTGATTTGGCAGTTTCTTATAAAGTTAAACAAACACTTACCATATGACCCAGTAATCCCACTCCTAGATATTTACCTTAGAGAAATAAAAATTTATGTTCACAAAAACCTGTACAAGAATGTTCATATCAGTATTATTCATAATCACCATAACCTGCAAATAGACCAAATGCACTTCAATGGGTGAACAGCTAAACAAACTTTGGAACATCCATACAATGGAATGCTACTCAGCAAAATGAATGAACTATTGATACACAAAACAACTTGGATGAATCTCATAAGAATTACACTGCATGAAAGAAGCCACTCTCAAAAGATTACATAGTGTGTGATTCCATTTATATGACATTCCCTAAAAGACAAAATTACAAAGATGGAGAACAGATCAGTGATTGCCAGAGATTATGGGTGGAGTTGGGAGTGACTATCAATGGATCATATGAAGTAGTTTAGGGTGATGGAGCTGTTCTCTATCTTGATTGTGGTGTTGGTTACATGAATCTACGTGATTTACATGATTTATGATTCACAGAATTGTACACCAAAAAAAGAGACAGGCAATTTTATTGTAAGTTCATTTCAAAAAGAAAAGAAAATATTAGCTATCATCATCATCGTCAATAATTATACTTTACTGATTAATAGAAATATTCAAAATTCGTTGTGAAACAGGATTTAAACATCATTACAGTAATTTTGTCTGGTATAACAACTTAAAAGTATAGAGAATAAAATCAACAACACTAAATGTAAAAGCTTTACAATATCTACTAACTCCTCTCTTTATTATTCTATATCAGAATAATATGTTCCCTCTGGATCATTTCCTACAAACATTGTCATATACTGAATATGGAATTCAATAAGCACTCAATGTAGAAGTCTTGGGCCCTATGTTACATTCCTAGATCTAACACTGTAAGAAAACTCTCGACTTGCCTTTTGTGCCTAATTTTATCTTCCTCTTCATTGAGGTCATGTACTTGTCTGCACTTGTCTTTTTGTGGTATGCTGTGAAGGTTTAAAGCAAGGAGTTTCAAAGATAGGAAACAGAACAGATTCATACACCACCCGCCTCCCTCCCCAAATAACAGGTACTCCTCTAAGTGATTTACATGTATTACCACACTTAATCCTCCTAAAGCTCTATAATATAGCTACCATTAATACTTTTATTTTATAGAAGAAGAAACTGAAGCAGAGTTGGAACTTTCCCAACATCTTACAGTTAGTAAGTGGGGGAGCCAGGATTTTCCCAGCAGTCTACCTCTAGAGCTCAAGTGCTTAATCTCTATGTTGTAATGTTTCTCCACAAAAGGCTGTTCATTTGTTCTTTCCGTCTTTCCTTCACCACTGCTCTTCCATGTCTATGGTGTCTCTATCTCTAACAAATCATCATTCATTCTCACGGCTGTACCTGTCTTCTAAGCATAGATGATTCCTGATTCTATGTATCGAGTTCTGACCTCTCCTTTGAACTTCACTGTTGTATTTCCAACTGCCTCCTCAACATCTGCATTTAATGATCCTGCCAGTCTTACAAATTCAACATGTGTAAAATCAAACTCAACATCTCGCCTCAAAATTTCTCCAAAAAGGTTTTCTTAATTTTTCCAATTATTAAGTGTCATAGCCTTGAAAATCTGGATTGTCTTTGACACTTCCTCTCCATTGGCCCTCCTCCTTTATTCTCTGTCAACAAGTTTTACCAATTCTTCCTTTGTAATGCCATACCTACCCCTCTTTCCAATTCCACTGCCATCATTGTAGTCCAGGTCTTTAGGCCCAAATGACCATAATACCTTCTGAATCATTCTCCCTCCTTCCAGTTCTTCCTTTCTCTCAACCTGTTTATTGGCCACCAGGTTAATAAATACTAGTTTTCATTTTCACATACTCCTTTTACCATGTTACTCCTGGCACAAAAACCTCTAACCATATCCAAACTAACTGAATAACTAACTCTGTAGAGTCTATACTACCCACCAAATAAGTTCAAAATGTTTGGCTACCTTTCTAACCTTCTCTCACAACACCCCCAAACACGCCATAGTGCTCATACCATCTGCTGCAACTGAAATGCCATTCCCTCTCTTTCCTAAAGAATAGGTAGTATAGTAATAAAAGAACACTTAAATCTTACCTCCTCTGAGAGGCCCTCTTCAGTCATGCCAATGCAAGTGGCCTTTCCCTCCTCTGAACTCCTATCAGCACTTATCAACTGTACCTAACATTGTTGTTAATGTTATGTTTCTCTCTCCAGCCAGAATTTAATTGGCACAAAGTCAGGAACCATTTCATAAGCCTCTGTGCACCTTCCACAGGGCCTAGCAAAACTTACTGGTTAAACAAATTCTTTCTGGTTAAGACACACACCATTTATCCATATATTTTGTGCTAATTTATAGCTCACCTAAAGACCCTTCAAATCCAGCCTCACCAACTTTTTTAGTGTCATCTCCTGTCATTCCCTGCAATGTCCTATACTTCCTGCCACATTGAACTTTTCACTGTTCCGTGGAGACACCACTCCTTTTGCAATCCTGTTCCTATTCACCCATTATCTCCCCCTTATTTACCTGACAAATGCCTTTTGATCCATCAAGACTTAATGCAAATGTCACCTCTGACTCCTCCAACTGGACTTAAATATTCTATGTTCTGTGCTCCCTCAGCATTTTATTAACATCTCTATAATCGTAATAGTGATTTCCATGTTGTCCTGCGACTATGTCCATATTTGTCTCTCTCATGGGATTACATTACTCAAGAGTAGTGATAGTTCGTCTTACCCCTACTTCCTTCACTAACTGCCCTCCCTTCACTAACTCTTCATAGTTAATGCCCTCACATTACATCTTTCTCTCTGTGAAAGAACATATCAAAGTCAGTGGCAATCACATACCTTGGTAATAAAGAGCCTTGAGGAAGGAGTGACGATCAGCTCCCTGAAATAAAGAATTTTCTATTTCCATTTCTCGCCGGGTCAGCTGCTTGCTCTTTGCAAATCTCTGGGGTAGGCAAAGGATGCGCTGGCGCTCTGAGATCCTTTCTTCAATATCTTGAAGACGGTTCTGTATTGCTTCAGGGGTTGCCCTCAGTTTCGTCCTCTGAAACCAGAGAAATGAGATGGTATATGTCACAGTGGACACTCCCTGAGAGTGATGATCTGACACCTCAAATAAGAAAGATGACGAAACATAGCCAATAATATTGTAATATTCTGGTATAGTATCAGAGGTAATTTTACTTACCGTGGTGAGCATTTAGTATGTGTACAACTGTCAAATTACTATGATGTACATCTGAAACAAATACAATATTGTGTATCAAGTATATTGCAATTACAAAAGCGAAAACTTTAAAAAAAAGATAATGATCAGGGCTCATATATGATTGTTTTGTGGGTATGTTAGCTAAGAAGTCAAGGGATGGCTTCTTTTTTGCTAAGGTCCCTATTGTAGAAATCAGAGAAGATTCAGACACAAAGCTCAGTTTTTTGACAAATAAAAATGAAAAGGTTTTCAGTGCTAAATGAAGAGATCTTGCTTGTTATTCTCCAGAAAAAAATTGCCCCACTCACCTTTTCACCTGAAACATGGCTCTTCCAGATCAAGATTTCTGTTTCACTGAGCCCTAGTTCCCTGAGGGAAGCAGTTTCCTGGTCCTTCTCATGCAGTGTCTGGAACTGGGACAAAGTCATAGTCCCAGCTGCTTCCTTCCCAAAGGGCTTGTACATAGTACCAGGAGCAAAGCTCTCTTTTTTAGATACACATCTGTAAAAGAAGCAGGAAGAGTAAGAACATCTTCAAGCTATCAGTTCTCAGAAATGGGGCTCACCGTTAAAACAGGCACAATGAAACTCATCAGCAATTTCTCTCTCATGTTTTATTTCTAGGCTGAAACACCACTGCAATGATATGGACCTCCCTCAATAGTCTCCTCGTCTAGGACTAATAAATGATTGAATTAAATACTTACTTATTGATGCACTATGCATCACACACTGTGCAAGGCACTGAGGATTTAATAATAAAAGGGATAAAAATGACTTCTGCTTTTGAGGAAGAATAGTGGAAAAGAAGTAAATAAACAGGCAATGATGATACTGGGTTATAAGTATGTTAAGGGAAGACATAGAAAAGTTACATAGCTCAGATTTAGTGGTATATGGGAGGCTTCCAAGAGGAAAAGACACAGAAGCAAAACCCTACCTATTAAGCAGAAGTTTGCCAAGGAAAAGGGGTGGGACAGGAGTGTTCCATCCAGGCTTTAAGAGGATCTGTTACCTGGAGGTGAGGGTCTGTGATACTCTATTTGTAAAATCAATACCTACTCCTCAATGGACACAGAGGTATCAAGTTGATGCTGAAGGAGGCTTTTCAGCTGCCTCTCCCCTTCTGTTTCCAACTCCTCCAGGACATGTTCATCACTCTTCACACAGCTATTTATCCTGGAATAGATATAAGAATATATACAGAAAGTAGAAGAGACTGTGAATCTCAAAATACATTCTTTATCTAAATGATCTACCATTTGTGACCCCCATTATTCAAAGACACTTCTCTAACTATTCATTAGCCTTTATCATTCACTCCATAAACATTTATTAAATACCTACTTACACACAATGTACCATGCTAGGTACTGATGGAGTCAAAGCTATTCAAGACATAGCCCCTAGCCTCAAGAAGTTTGCAATTTATTTAGGAGAGGGAATATATATATATATGTGTGTGTGTATGTGTTGATCTGACCTTGCCTGGTGGTTGGGAAAAGAGAATAGAATAATGGTAAAAGAAGCATATGCCAAATTAGTAGGAGTTCACAGGAGGGATAATTGGGACTGGGGGTGGTAAATGAAGACTTTGGAAACATAAGTAATTCTTAAACTGGCATTGAAGGATTGGGTGTGATGAAGGAAAGAATAGGGAGAGCAAGTATGAAAAGACAGAAATATGTTCTAGAGTATAATGAGAGTTCAATTATCTGGTATTCATGTATGAGAGCACTGGGAGATAATCCTGGAGGGGTAATTAGAGTCAGATTGTGAATGGCCTTAAATACACCAACTAAGGGGGCTGGACCTTAATGCACAGGTAGTAGAAAGTAATTTATTAGGCAGTTAGGTGACATGGTACAAGTGATGGTTTAGAAAAATGACTGTGATGATAATATGCCTTATGGATTAGTAGGAAAGAATCCAGAAGAACTACTTGGGAAACTATTTAAATTTATCAAGCATAAAGTGATGAAAGTCCAAACTGGAGTGGTAATAGTGAAACAGAAAGGAAGAGTTAGATGAGAGAGGCCTTTTGAAGGTAGGGTTAGGGGAGAAGTAAAAAACAGCCATGAAATTTCAAGTTGTATAACTGAGATCTGATGGTACCAATGAAGGAAAGCGGGCAGCTCCAGATATTGTTTGGGAATGGGAAAGCCAGTTGAGTCAACTACCTACTACAACTGAAACACCAGCATGAAGTATCAGGAATACTTCAAAGACATATTGAGCCTGAGGTAACAGCAGAAGTGATACTGGCTAAAGGAAAGGGAGAGATGATGGGATAATTATTGCAAAGATGAGAATCTGAGGCTGAACATGGAAATCTTGAGTCATCTGTGTTGTCAAGATCTAGAGCTGTGAGAGAGGAAATCTCCAAAGGAGAAAGTATAGAAACAGATGTGAAGAGAGTCAACATTAATGGTAATGCTAATATGAACTAACTAAGCTTAAGTAATTGAAAACTCATATTAGAGTATAAAGGAATGGTATGCAACAACATATAAAGACAAACCAAAATGAGTTAACTCCATGAGGAGAACAAATATTAAAACCTTCCTTTTAAAATAGCCTTTTACTGTTGGGGTTATGATGAGGCCTGGGAGATATATCTCCCATAATTATAAGCAAGAGTCTCATGCTCTAGAAAGACACAGACCTATTTTGGAAATTTAAAAAATATCCTTAGGCCCAGGGTTTTAAAAAATTCCTTTTAAGTATCTTAACTTTCATTTATTATTTAGAATTCAAGTTTTTGGTTAAGTTTTAAAATGCATTTGAAATGAATAAACTATAAATACAACAGTACGTATGAATCTCAAAAAGAAGTAAGTGAAAAAAAGAAAGCAGGCGAAAAATTCATACAATGCGTCCATTTACATAGAGTTGAAAAATGGATAAAACTAGCAACATTCTGCTTAGGGATAAATTCATATGTGGTAAAAGGGTTTTTTAAAAAAAGAAAGGGAAAGGTTAAGGTACAATTCTGGATTGTGGCCCCCTTGGTGGGGAAGGAAGGGAGGCGAAGCAATCAGGCAGGGGCACACAGGGGACTTCTATTTCCAAAGCCTGTAGTGGGTACGAATCTATTATTATTCTTTGAAGTATGTACACATTATTTTGCATATGTGAAATGTATCATAATAAACATTTTTCTAAAGTCATTTCGAGGCAGGGAAAATCAGAAAGTTTTTTTTAAAGATGCAGAAACTGACAGTGCAGGACAGCATAATATCAGCAAGAATTTTAAATGCATCTCCCAGTTCCAGAGTGATTATTCTGCTTGCAGAGAGAATATAAAACTAATTTAAGGAGGATCCTTTAAAAGGCTTTGTGTACTGTCAAGAACTGTGAAGCTCAGGCTTTTAACAATGATCGGCCAACTTAAAACTGCCATTCCCTGAAGAACCAGAAGGGGGAGCTGCTCGCAGTAGTGCCTTCCTTTTCCTACAATATATCGAACCAGTTTTGTACTTTCCTTCTAAATTTGTAGAAACAAAGTATCACTTGCTTACTTTAAGATCTGAAAGTGCTACACGCTCTCTGGCCCGAACAAGTCTTCTTTAGTACACCAACACCGCACATATACGCGCCCACCCTAAGCCCCTTTCTGAGGATGAGGTGGAGATAGGGCGCGACAGGGAGGAGCTGGCCTGGGTTTCTCCGGCGCAGGGCATCAGTCGGCCAAGACCCTTTTACTTGGCTGGATCCGTCTGATACAGGAAGAAGCCACAGCATCTGCCCAGCTCCTGGGGCCAGCGCCGTGGCCTGGATGCCTGTGCGGGCAAGCCATTCCTCAGGGAACCGCAGCGGCGGCGGCCCTTCCTGAACTTCGCCCCGCAAGGCCTTTTCCAACCCGTCTCCCTTCCTCCCTCCTCCTTTGTTTTCCCGCTCACGCGAAAGCGCATCCCGAAAACGTGACATACCCTAAACACAAAGTAGTAAAAGCCATTTTAAAAGTTAAATGATAAAAAAAAGGGCTCCCTTCGCAGCTTGCTCTCAGACAAGTCCTTACCTCTTCATGTTTCCACAGGCCCCTACATCTAACTTGAGTAAACAGGCCGCGGACTTCAACTCCCAGAACTCTGTGCGGCCAACTCTAAGGGGATTGTGGAGATGTGCGGTGCTCTGGGAATTGTAGTAGCACCAAGCTAAAGAAATGGAAAGAATACGTATTGAGTTACCGGCATGTTGTAAATTGTCCGAATATTTCTTAGTTTCTCGAACAGGTTAAAGGCAACACCCACAATATACGGCTCGTAAATCTAGGAGTCACCTTTGACTTCTGACTTTCTTATCCAGTATCACCAAATCTTGGCTCCTCTAATTTCCTTCCAATGTGTTTCTGAAATACCTGCTGGCATAGGGTGGAATTGCAACTAGAAAGCAAGGACATAAGGAAGTACTCCATGTACTTGTGTATAACTGGGGCCAGTCTGAGTGGTTGGTATCAAGGGACATTCAGAAAATTGCAGTGGAAGAAAAACCAGACTATTTCTAGCTCTGCTGAACTTACAACTGTGGAATGATAACCCCTTGCCCACAGCATCCTCTCCCTGCTTTAATAGGATATCAGACAGTATATAAAAAGCTTTTAAGATTTCCAGATGTTATTCATGGGCACAATGATCTTACCATGAGGCAATTTCACTATTTCATTCCTAGAAGAATTTTTGACAAACTGAAAAATATGCCTCATTTGTCTTTCTGACAATTTAACAAGGTTAGTTTAATTAAGCCAGTAGTTCCTCCTTAACATGGACATATTTTCAGCATTTGTCTTTTTTAGGTGCTTTGTTCACAGCACACTAATGATGAATACATTACAAAGAAATTATAATTTCCAGATATGGAAGAGATGCTAAAACCACAAATCTCTTTAACAGGGATAGCATCACTTATCTAATATTAAGAGCGAACAACTGTGCACATGTCTTCCAAATTCTTCAAATGAGATAGCATAAATGCTGTTATAGAGAGAATAAATATAGAATCTTTTTCAAAGGACAAAAAAAAGTAGGTAAGCACTGGGAAAGTGTTCACAATAAATTGTAAGGATCCTCCTTGGTCTTTAACAATGTTTAGGAGGGACCAAAACTCCAGTACCTAACATAAATATTGCCTTAAAATTACCGGCCAAAAAGAGGTTATTTTTGATATTCTAATTAATATTTTTTCAACAATGTCATGTTTTTTAGACATGTTAGAACCAGACAGAAGGAACCTTAGAGATGATTTAGTCCAAGGCTCTGGATTCCAGACAGTACATGGAGATGTACCAGTAAATGTTACAATGTTACTGCATTGATCTGGAAGCCATTTGCCATCCACTGGCTTCATCTATGCCTGGGGGAAAAACACTACAACTCTAAGTACAAAATCAATAGGACTACTGTAGTCTCCTCCTTCTTTATTTTATTGAGGAACTTTACAGTATGCATTTTCTGCTAGTGAAAAAACATAAAGGTATTGCAAAACTGCAGAGAAATGAAAACTAGTTCCTTTCAGTTAGGAATACCTTAATATGGTCCAACTCTTTCATGTTATAGACAAAAGATTATGCCCAAAATGAAATTGTTTGTCCAGTTAATTAAGCAGGGATAAGACTAAATCTATTGTTTCCTCTAATACACTACACTTCTCTTCACTGAATGTGGGACATAATTTATACACAAATTTCAAGAGTTGAATCTCCAGAAGTAATAGGGAAAATGTCTTCATCTAGCATGTAATAGTAATAATACTGACTCAAAAATTAGACATTACTCAAGATTATATTCATCTACAGTCATCATCTACAAAATTAAATGGTCTCTGGATTATTTTCATATTTACCTGATAAGAAGCTGCTAACTCTGAGAACTCTGAGTAGGTAAAAAGAGGAGACCATGTAAGTTCTGATATTTAGTTTACTCATAAGGTGATGAAAATCACTAATACTCACTTCAAATATATTTCCTTCCCGTATATATACCCCTTAGGATGGCCACATGCAGTGAGTACACCAGAAATTCAGCTCAGTAATTACAGACAACTAAGCTTTAGTCACTCAGAAACTTTTAAGTAATTTATTTTGGTGTTATGCTTTTATTTTTTAGAACATCACCTTTATTTATGACTTAGAGGAAACACAAGAGATCAAACTGTTTCCAAGCTAAGAACAAGGCTTTTTATTGAAAAATAAATACACAAAAAACAACTATAAACCTTATGCTAAAGCCAAATAAAACACCAGGATATCTGTACATCAAATACAGATAAACTGTCTGAATCTTACCCTTATAAAATTTATCTACCTCAAGTTTGAAATCCTCCTTAACTTTTCCTCCCTACCCTGAATTTCTACAGCACATTTTCTGTAATTTGTAGCACACTTCCTTGTAGTGTCTATACTGTTTTTATCCAGACAGGCAAAAATTGTATCTCAGACTAAACAGTAAGTTCCCTTAAGAAGAGACTAATCTAACATTATTCACCAAATGTTAACGGGCACCCAGTAAAGACTGTCTGGCATTTATTTGTTGGCAAATATTTCTCTGTGATCCAGTTGAGCCAAAAAGGATGATGTGTGCTGATGTTAGGCTATGGAATCTAGCAGAGTAAGATACTAATTATTTCTGTATCTACACAGTCAATATCTAATAGGTTGCTGCCTAGACAAAAGGGATAATGTACTTTTGATTTTTAAATGACTAAGAGTCAAACTACAGCATAATGCTCAATAGCACAATATTTAAATTGAAAAATAAAAACATACACGCACATTTTATTACAACCGAAGATAAAATAGTAATTGTAAATAGTACTCTATTTAACATCATCAAAATGTATAATCCTAAAACAACATGCTGAAGATTTGGTCACTCAATCAAAATCAATTCTGATTTTGCGTTCCTGCTCCTTGCGACGTCAATCCTCAAAATCCTCTGCTACCTCTTCTAACCTTCCTTTGCAGCATGCCTATGGGGGAAAAGTCATGATCATTAATCTGAGGTCAAAGTGCCCCAGGAACATAATAACTTACATTCTCCTTTCCACATATGATTTACAAAACTTCACATTATAGATTATTTAACAGCTTTTATGTACTAAAAAATATACTTTTTTATGTATTAGAAAATACACTTTAGATAAGAAAAATATCTGTTTGGAAGCTGTGAAAACAGTGCACAAGACTGTTCTTGATTTGCTCTCCCTAGCTTTCAGGCAAATAAGTCTACTTGACATTTATGTTTTGTTGAAGATAAGTGTTAACCATCTTTTACTAATTATAGCCTAAAAGTGTCATACAGGGTGGTCATTAAATTGAGGGTGTAGATTTTTATAGGCCTTTGCTGCTTGTAAGCAAATTAGTACATTGAGTATATTTACATTTCTGTTCCTTTCTAATGCTTTAACTTGGTGGTCCTTATATGTGCTCAGGGCAAAGCAACACAAAATACCAATAATTTCACCATATAAAACAGTAACTTTTTGTAGTAAAAATAAGCTGTTGAAATCAACATGATAATGTGAGGTTTTCTATTAACATGCACAAATAAACTTGGTCATTTGTTTTAGTATTCATTAAAGCTCACTAACTGATAAGTAATAACTGACAGCAAAGATTTAAGAAAAACTATGCAATTTCAAACATATAAGAGAAAAACTAAAAATTTCAAACAACAGACTCTAATTTTATTCAGTCCATTGATAAAGCCCCAATGTTATTCAGCTTTGAAAGTATAATACTTAATCCTATCTTAATACACGTAGGCATTCTGCAAGATTATACCTTAAGAACAAGTGATTTAAATGATGATTGTCTACTGAAAAGATAAGAAAAACCGTTATATTCATTGAGCCTGGTAGAATGCATCTCCTTTTTGTTGTAGTAACTAACTGCAGGGTACAATTTTTTCCCACTAAATAACATTTCTCGATATGATAGAAGCACAAGTGAGCACTACAACAAACCATTAACTTGAGGCCAGAATTTGCTGACTGATACATATTAAATGCAAAGGAGTACATTTACAAAAATTTTGAAAATCCGTGAAATGTCAAGAAACAAGCAGCATTATTAAGACAGTCTTATGATAAACATTTTATCATATCTCCAAACTGAATTCTCAGGACTATTTCTTTCTGTATTAATATACTTAAAATTTTTTAGGAGTTTGATTCTTTACAGGCAAAAACTACACCTGGGCACTTGACTGCTCAGAGTTCTGGTCCCATGATATATGCATCAGTGTCCAGTTCCTGTAGTCCTATTAAATTATGTATCATACTAGAAGTAAAATGCTAGTAATAGTCAAAATTTGGGGGGAAAGTACACCATATACATTTTGATATTATTTAAAAATAATTGTATGAATATGAACATGAAATTAGAAAACCAATTCCATTCACAATAACATCAAAAAGAATCAAAACACTTAGAAATAAACTTACCAAATGAAATACAAGGCCTATACATTCAAAATGACAAAACACTTCTAAGAGAAGTTAAAAAGGTATAAAAAAATGAAGAGCTAGTCCATGCTCATGGACTGAATCCATGCTCACAGACTGGGAAACTCAATAATGTTAAGATGATAATTCTCCATAGATTGATCTATAAAGTCAATGTTATCCCTATGAAAAGTTCAGCAGGCTACTTTTGTAGAAACAGACAAGCTTTAAAATTTATATGGAAAGGTAAAGAACCTAGAATAGCCAGAACAATCTTGAAAAAGAAGAATATATTGCAGGAGTTAAACTTTAAAACTTCACAACTTTAAAACTTACTACAAAGTTACAAAAATCAACTGGTATTAGCATAGGACAGCCATATATACCAATGTGACAGAAAGAAAGTCCAGAAATAAAACCTTATTTTTGTGGTCAATGGGGGAAAGCACAGTCTTTTTCAACAAATATAGCAGGAACAACTAGGTATCTATATGTAAGTGAAGTTGAAACCCTACCTCTAACTATGCACAAAAAACAACTCGAAGTGGATTACTGACCTAAATATAAGAGCTAAAACTGTATTTGGGAAATAAAACACAAATGTCAATCAACTGACGAATGGATAAACAAAATGTAGTATGTCCATACACTGGAATGTTACATAGAAATAAAAAGGAGTGAAGTACATGTTAAAACAGATGAACTTTGAAAACATTAAGCTAGACATAAAAGGCCACATGTACTATGATTTCATTTATATTAACTCTCCAGAAAAGGCAACTCTACAAAGACAGAACATAGACTTATGGTTGCCTGGGCTTCAGAGTAGGAATGGAGATTAACCACAAGCAGGCAAGAGTAAACTTTTGGGGGTAATAGAAATCTTCTAAAACTGGAAGCTTTAGATAAATAGCCTTTGTTTAATATGGTATATTTGTGTGATTAAAATATTTCTTAAAAATGACTCCTCCCACCCACCAAAAGATTCTGATAAAACTGCTTTCAACCAGCCCCGCTCTGATAGGAGACAGATGTTTTCTTCATTTAAGACTACTTGCAAATATTTTAGGTAAAGATTAAAGGCTTTCATAGGAAGTTATGAAAATAATCAATTTGGTCATTAAACCCAAACACAGCTTTCTACTGTAATTATTTTTATGTTAATTTATATATATATAAATATTAGATAATATCAAATACACTGTCAAAAGAAATAATGTACTCTCATAAACATTGCCATAGTATGCCTCTTATTCTCTTTCTAGAAAAACAATTGGGGCAATAGGAGAAAAAAAAATGTCCTGACAAAAACATAGTCAAAAGCCACAAATAGGCAACTTAGAAAAGGAAATACAAATTGTTTGTAAACATTTTTTTTAAATATTTAATTTCATAAGTAAACAGAAATGCAAATTAAACAAGGGAAGTATTATTTTTACCTATAACTTTCAGAAGGAATGATAATGATGATGGTATAGTAGTAATAATTATGAAAGTAGCAATAGTGGAAGGACTGCAGAAAAATGTGTACTCTAATGAATTGGTGGTAAAATTATCAATTAGTACAGCTTACTCAGAAGAAACTATAAATCAAAAGCCTTTAAAACAGACATTACTCCTAATTCAGCATTTTAACTTCTAAGAATTTTATCTATGTCCAATATCCATGGATGTACCCTAGAACTTAGCTACATCTAGGTTCACTGCAGCACAATTTAAAATAGCAAGTTAGAAGCATTAACTAATACCTAACAATGGGGTATTAAATAAACTAAGGTTATTCATAAAATGGAAAGTTTAGCAGCCATTATAAATGTAGAATATTTAATAATATGGAACAATATTCATGTACATGTTAGCTTTGCATCTCTTTTTCCATCAAAAACTGAGTATATTGTGCTGTGTACATATCAGGGAACAAATAAATTAAAAATGTATGCTGGCTCCCAAGTTCAGGTCAGACACTGCTGACTTCTGAACACAGAGGAATAACCAAGGCACAATCTTTATCATCAAGAAGGTTAAATTTCAGTAAGGGAGACAGACAAGTAAATAAATATTTGCAATATTGTATGATAAATGCTGACAATATCATACATAGAAGAAGCTATTAGAATGATGAGTCAAGGAAGCCTTCATGGAAGCAATAGCCTGACATGGGAGCAGGTACCCAGGCACACAAAAATGGGGTGGGGTACGCCAGGTAGAACAAACTGATCATCTAAAGATATGAAGGAAAGAACATTGGGTATTTGCAAAACTATAAATACTTCTTGAAATGCTGCAAACAAGAGAAGAGGTTGGAGAAACAGGTGGGGGTTGGATTATACAGGGTACTTTGTATATTATGGAAAGGAAAAATTCATCATTGAACAATGGGAAGTACTGAAGGGCTTTAATAAAGGGATGGCTGGGAAAGAGTATCATATCAAGATGTCTGGCAGTCAAATAAAAGTGAATTGGAGTGGGCTAAGACTGGGGAAAGGAGATCAGTAAGGTCTTTAGTTAAAGACGTAAGCACATGCATTTATTGCTGCCTCATTCCAAAACACCTGTGAAATAGTAGAGATTTGCTTTACAAAGAAGAAAAAGATAAAACCATAAGGACAAAGACAGTAAGAAAGGAGACAAGACAAAACTGAAAATTTTAACTAGAAGCCTAGAATGGATTTGAAATTAGCAGAAGGAGGTAATTCAAAGTGGTGTTGAAAGTAGGGCTAAAAGCAAGAATATGAATGATTAAGAAACAGACCCCTTTTTTCTGCCACATCCTACATCTGGGTAATTCTCCTTACCCAAGCCCAGGAGAAGAGCTGGGTTCTTTAGAGAGGGTAAACCAGATGAGCTCTGCAGTGGGGACACCAGGCAGAGCTGAGGGCAAGGAACCTTCACCAAAAGCAGGGATTAAGTGAAAGTTTGCAGGTGTACAAGCTGACTACTGAGTCCCCAGTCTCTTCTCTAACAGTTATGAGAACACTGATTTACCAACAGGTTTATTAATCTCTAGCTAAAACATGGAAGATTCTTCTTGGGATAATATGACCAACTAAAAGAAAAATCCTGAAGATAAAGGCTGGAGAGCCCCAGTGAAAAAGTTTTGCCAAATTATCCTATTATACAGTAAGTTAGCAAGCACCACCTACAATTTAGCATCTCATTTTTTAATATAAATGGACAATTAATGATCACCCAACATTTGAGGAGAGCTTCAAACATAAGAAAAACCACAACAGAAAGATAAAATTGAAAGAAACAATCCAGGAAGAATAAAACATTTAAAAAATCATTAAATATCCTCAGACAGAGGATACTAAATTCATGAAATAAGAACTGATTGCTATTTAAAACACATACACACATAAAATCATAATACAACACCAAATCACAACAGAAAGATAGAGAAAGCTGAAAGAAACCATCCAGAAAGAATAAAACATTTAAAAAATTGTTAATATCTTCAGAGCGAGGATACTAAATCCATGAAATAAGAACCAGATGCTATTTAAAATACATACATACACAAA